AAGGCGTCTATGTGGGTTGGCGCTTCGTTCCGACTGACTGCATTTGTTTCGCCATCGACACTGAAAGAGATTGGAAAAGAATTGTAGTGAAGTGCACATTCTCCTTTACCGTTGACTTGCGAAAGTGACGGTACCCGATTAAATACTGCAGACCACAGGTTCATTGCCGCCATTAGTATAGTAAAAGATAAACTGCCGTTTGAGTCAGCAGATGGCACTGAATTCCGGGAAGGGTCTATTGGTGTGTTCACCGCGTCCAAAAAAGTGGTCCCTGGATTTCCGCCTGATGACGTCATAGGAGTCCCACGCTGTGGCTGGCCGCGATCCTGGCGGCGTCACAGAAGCAGTTGTGCATGTGGCAAACACCTGTTCTGCTGCAGGTCGCTCTCGAGCTTGACAATCCACGAAAGGTACGGCAGCCAGCGGTTGAGAAGCCGCAACGGCAGCGGCACTCACGTTCGATCGTGCTTTTCGCCAGCATTTCGAAGACCAATCGCCACGATCACTCCGGCTTTTGTGACGTCATTTGTTGCCACCTCGGGACCACTTTTATTGTATGGGCAACATGGTAGCACACTGTTACATTGCCATTATTAGGGAGTTTTCGTAGATGGTTTCCGCCATGCCGCAACGCTCTCCGCAGCCCGCTACGATACCTGGAACTCTACTGTCAAGGCCATCGGCGCGCAGGCACAGTAGCAGGAGGACATAGCGGAGGGGTAAACGCGGTCTACGAAAGCTCTTATTTAGCGGACTTGCGTACCGTTTATTTTAGGAGCAAACGCAAGCCCCCTACGTTATCGTTATCGCTGCGTCCTCCACACTGCGCATGAGCCATACGTACGCACTGCAGCTAGCTATGCGTACGTACGCTCGCTATTCTATCGATTTTTGCGAACGTACGTAGCGGTCCCCTGTGTGCCATTCTCGTTGCTCTCGTCGCGCACGGGAGGGCGTGAGACTACTCCACTTTGAAAAATGGCGGCGATGAGGCAATTTACTGAAAGTGCTACGCGCGTTGTACGGATTCGCTTCACCATTGAAGATGATTTCAACCTTGCGGAAGAAAGAGAAAGAAGAAGAAGGGAAAAAGTGCGAGGCTCGTGGCGGGCGAGGACACGCGGAGTTCGGAGCTGGAGACAGACGAAAGAGCCGGTGACGAGTGGCCAAGTGAAATTCGGCCTGATCGGGCGGTATTGACAGGCGACCCACAACCTCCTCAAAGAAATCAACGCGCCGAACCTTTTCAAGCACCCACAAAGATGGGTGTCGATAACCAAAAACGTTGGCGACGCCGTTGAAACCAAAAAGGTGGTTACTGTGCGGTCGGTACGCGAGCGGTGCGACCTACTGCTTGCATACTTCCAAGCAAATAATGAGGCCAACATAAGATAATAGGGATTCCACAACACACTGGAGCGAACCATAGATCGAACTGCTGGTCACACAGTCGTAAAAAAAGACAAGATTCGTTCACAACAAGCAACTGGAAAGGGTTTCACGCACTTCGTAGCAAAGCGAGGAGATTCGCGGCGTTAAATTGGTTTGACCGAATACCCCCCTTGGATGGTTGGGGGCAGTTCGCAGGAGCACATCTAGATGGCACTGCAAGTCTTTACGTAAGCTGGTGGGACAATGAAGTGAAGCAAGCGATACAAAAACGTCAGGAAGCCTCTAGAGAACACAGGCATTCCAAGCGTAGAGGGGAGTCAGAAACGGAAGTAAAAAGAAAATGGGACTCTTTTATAACATGTCGCCGAGAGGCATCCAGTTTGAACAATGCGAAAATTCTGAGAAAGGGTGAGGAATGGAATAGTAATGTAAGCAAGAAAGATAGAAACGCAACCAAGAAGTTTTGGGTGCACTTGAACTCATTCGGTGAAACGACGCAAGCTAGACAGAGGTTCATACTCTCGCATCAGGGAGATCAATTAGAGGGAGATGATGCGATACGACATATAGGAGCAGTGATGGAGGAGAAAGTTCGGGAACGGGTACATGTGGAAGATAGGAGAACCGAAGGAAATAGCAGTCCAGCTTGTGACATCGTGAATTTTGGACAAAGAGAATGGGAAAAGGCGGAATGAATAGTACCTAGTGGCACGTCGACAGGCACAGATGGTATCCCAATCAAGCTGGTGAAGAATTTGGGTACTAAATCTAAGGCAAAACTAAGGGAGGTAGTGAGCGCTATGATAACAAAACGAAATACTCCAGATGAGTGGAGGCTTAGTAGGATGAGCATGATATATAAGGGAAAGGGAGATAAGTCTGATATTAGGAGTTATCGTCCCATAACCGGTGACACCAGTTATTTACAGGTTGGTAATGCAGATTATAAAGAACAGACTGGAGGAATGGGTAGATTGCGAGGGCATACCGGGCGAGTTACAGAACGGGTTTCGGAAACAAAGAAGGTTGGAGGACAATACACTTTCTCTAACAGTGTATAGAAATAGTGCAAAAAGAAAACAGACAGCTCTGGCTGGCATTTCTGGATAACAAAGGTGCCTATGACAATGTGAACCAAAGGAACCTGTGGGACTTAGTGTAGAGCTTAAACCTAGATGAAGGACTAACAGCAATATTAAGGAACATTTACAAAGATAATAAGTTGATTATAATACGGGAAGAAAAGGCAACGGGGAAAATAGAGAAAAGACGAAGCCTTAGGCAGGGGTGCCCGTTATCGCCTTTGCTGTTTATGTTGTATCTGAGAGGATTGGAGGATAGACTAGAGAAGAGTGGGCTTGGATTCAAACTTTGGTACAGTAAGCTAGGCCAAAAAAATTCATCAATCCTTACCGGGATTGATGTATGCGGATCATATCGTAGTAATGGCTAACAATAGGACAGAGTTGCAGGAATTAATGAGCATCTGTGGTAGGGAAGGAGAGGAATTAGGTTTAGAATTCAGTAGTGAAAAATCAGAAGTCATGATTTTTAACGATGATGAAGTCGAGAGGCTGAAGATACAGAATATTACAGTTGAGAGAGCTAGTAAATACTAGTATCTAGGAGTATGGATATGTGATGGTGCAGAATATCTTAGTGAGCATGAAAAGTATATAAGAGGTAAGGGAAAGAGAAATGCAGCTGTAATGAAAAATAGAGCACTTTGGAACTACAACAGGTATGAGGTGGTGAGAGAGATTTGGAAAGGGGTCATGGAGCCTGGCTTGACTTTTGGAAACGCGGTGCTATGCATGAAATCCGATGTGCATGCAAGACTAGAAATAAAACAGCGCGGACTAGGTAGGCTGGCTTTGGGGGCACATTGCAAAACGCCAAACCAGGGAGTACAAGGAGACATGGGATGGGCGTCATTTGAGAGCAGAGAAGCGGTGAGCAAGATAGAATTTGAGGATCGGTTGAGGCAAATGGATGGGGAGCAATGGGCATGAAAGGTTTTTAACTATTTATACATGAGAAGTATAGACACAAAGTGGAGACAGCGCACTAGGAAATTAAGAGGAAAGGCTATAGTGAAGCTACGGAAGAGCAGGTTTAGTTAAGAAGAAAGTTAAGGACACAGAAAGAGATCGGTGGCTAGAAGGAATGGAGACAAAGACGGCTCTGGAAAGCTACAGATTAAACAAAACAGTTATTTCCAAAGAAAGCATTTATGACAATTCTAGGGGGAACTCATTGTTGTTTGAGGCAAGGACAGGGGTTTTGCGAAACAGAACATACAAAGCGAAGTACCAGGAAATGGATACAGTGTGCGCTGCTTGTGGAGAGGAGGACGAGACGGCTGAGCACTTCATACTCTACTACTGTAAAGGGCTTCACCCTATGCCTACCGAAGACAACATAGATTTAATAAAGTCAGTGTGTTTCGAGGGAAAAGTGAATTTCAAGAGAGTAGAGATTACCAAGCAAAGATTAAGTGAATGGTGGCAGAAAGCGAGAAAAAACTAGGTATTTTCTTATTAACTAATGGCAAGGGAGTTTTATAGCCTCACTTTATTTTCAGTGCGGAGTGAATATAGTTTTCACATTTAAATATTCTAAGCTCAAATGGTAAAACAAAATGGCTAGGTGGAGTGAGCTACCGCCCGATCCAAAGGGCTCAGCTGGATTCATCCATCCATCCATCCATCCTATGCGTTTGCCTTCCGCTATACTAGAAGGATGTGTTCAACGCGCTCCGTAACATTACGTCGACACCTTGCGTGTGTTGTACGCAGTGCGACGTAAGGGTCTTTACGCTATCCTAAAACTCTCTATTGTGAGGTTGCGTGACGACGTGACACTGCGATGTCACGAGACATTAAATTTACGCTAAATTTAGGGGGAAAATATCCACACTAATTTTAGAGGAGAAATGTTCCCGCTAAATCTGCCGATAGGCATTTACTAAATTGAAGAGAAATGTCTCCACTAAATATAGCAAATGAATTTTCCTGCCGAATGTGGCGATAAACTTCTCTATTTAATTTTAACAGAAACATTTCTCCGTTAAATGTAATATGAACATTGTTACGTCATGTGACATGGTCAGGTGACAGTGATGTTACATTGTCCGCAACATGTAGCGAAGAAACACGGGATCTGCTACAGAACCTAGCCAGTACAGGCGATTGTTGTAAAATAGTGTTTCTATTCGCGTTGTGCGTGTGTTTGTGCACGTTGCTCCAAATTTGTTTTCAATGAGTTTGTCATAATGGGCTTATTTCATTTGTGCTATACCAGCTAGACAAGCCACAGTTTCGAATTACGATAGCGACTAATTTCACAATCTCATTAAAGGACCGACTATATGCTCATATCTTATAATAATATTAATTGGGGTTGTGTGGATATTTATACAGCGTGTAGTTGGTCAGCCATTTCAAAGCTGCGACGAGTCACTCGCTATAGATGAAAAATTTATTCAGTGCAGTACAACCGCTAGCCTGCACTACGCAGTAGTGGTACACGACCGCACGTCGGGACGATGCTCACCTCATATCCTATCAGTACCCAAGTATGCCGTTTTGCCTCACGGGGATTTTCAGGGATGCTGTACGACAGCATTGGCAACTATTCCCTGGCATTCCTGCTGGCCGGGGTGCCCCCTGTTCTGGCATCGCTCCTGATGTGCTGCATACACTTCGTCGGAGATGTGAGTTTCCATCTGTGCGTCTTTCGGCAACCGCGCATGAAGTAAGGCATTAGTGACCGTCTTTTTTTAAACGCGTAGCATGTCTACAGCCAGCTCTTATTTAGCCCTCTAGCGTCCGAGTCTAGGATGAAGCCTGGATAGAGCGTCGAGCGCGGACCGAGCAATTGCCGATTGCACGCTCCACATTTATTATACCTTTTTCAAAAGTCCATCGAGGAACATTGGCGGTCGCCATTTCTTCTGTACGAGGTGCGTGATTGGATCCGAGTTCCTCGCCGAACGCTGACACGGCACTCAATTTCAAAGCGGGGAAGCGCAAGTTCGTCTCCATCTTGCACACGAGGAGTTGGGATGATGTCACAACGCCAAACACGTAGTAACAAAAAACAAAAAAAAATACTGGGTAGACTATGAGACATTTAGCATTGGAGGCTACTAGCTATCCTTCCATTAAAACCAATCAGAACTCGGCGTCGTCCTGACGTCACCGCGATCTCGGCAGAAGAAGCAGACGACTTGCTTTATGCATAGCCTTTGCGCTTCGCATACCCGAACTCTTAACCTTTTAGAGAAGTATTCAAAGTGCAATAAAAAAAAAAAAAAACGAAGAAAAGACAAACAATAAGGACTGTGTGAAAAATTGTTTGTAACAGGTACGTTAATTACTTTTCGAGCATTGAAGGGGGCACTGACACCCTAAAGGTATTATTTCTTTTTTATTGTTTGTCTAAAACGATGCAAATTGCAATCATGGACACGCAAAAAAAAAAAAAAACATTTCTCACGCGCGCACGCCTTTTTGTTTTTAGCGTTTTTCTCTTCCGCACCTCTCCCCATGTGGCGGGTTCGAATTCCGGCCGAGGTGCCCGCAATCTGACGGAGGCTTATTGCGGAAAAGGCGCCGTGTAACCGAGCTTTCGGTTGCACGTCAAAAGATCCCCAGGTGGTCCAAATTAATCCTCAGTCCTCCGCTGGGGCGTGCCAGATGCCCGTCGTTGGTTTGGCACGTAAAAACCCCCAAATTTGACTTCAAATTTGACTCTCCCACACCTCACCTCCTCGCTTCTTTTGATTTGTGACGTCAAAAATCATGAAAATTAGAAGCTTTGTAGGCGACATTTTTATAAGATTTAATAACGGCAATCGTAAAATAAGTTTTTAATGCGATTGCGCACGCACTAAGGCCCTTCTTTTTGAAATACCAAAAATCGGAGTCCGGAGTGGTGTAACCTTATGGCTTTTTATCCTCCCTCGGAAAACATGGCGCCGCTCGTCACGAGTTGGTCGTGGTCACATGTAGCACTGTGGGTGATCGGAGAGAAGGCAAATCGGACGAAGTTCTCTTTTCTAGATGCCCTACGACCTGTTACACTTTGGAAAAGGAAATCGTCAAACGGTCAAAAGAACTTGGTTTGGTGTGTTAATTCCCACATAGCAGGATTATCGACATTCGCTTAACGAATGTCGATGAAACGTTAATGTCGACGAAACGTGTGTCCATGAGAAGGTGGCCGCGCAACGCGTTATCACGAAACGCAGAGAGAATAAAAAAATCAGTATTCTACCTGCAGTTGTGACATGCTTTTAGAATTTCGGTGAAATTATTCTCCCGGCTGCCAGGAGATAGACACGGCCTAATTCTAGAGGTAATCTGGAAGAGTACCTTTAAAAAAACGATTAATTGTGGCGAAGCAGGTTGCAGCGCACTTACGTTGACGAGACGGGACTTGAAAGGTGTAATCCGAGATTAAAATGTCAACACGGCCACGGCAGAAGCAGCACTCAAACACAAAAACGAGAAGGAAGGTGACCGTGAAGATTCAACACGATGTAACACAAGCTGTCATTTGTAGAACCTAACACTAAACGCATCAGAAAAAATTCTGGGCTTCTTTGAAGAAACCGCTTGTTGCCGATATACAGGTAGGACTCTTCGCATTTACTGCAGAAACAGAAATCCGCAGCAGCCACGCAGGGCGCAACACACGCCAAACTAGGTCTGGCAGAACGCATTCCGAGATTGGCAACGACTAATGCGTCGTCCGTGACACCACGCGACCACGCTTCTGACATCCCCCGCAGGGGGCACCATGTGAAAGCAGGTGTCTGGAGAGTGGCGTCTTCACGGACCCCGAGCCATGCGGGTTCGCCCGCCCACGTCTGGCTATGAGTGGCTTTCCCGTGTCCGGGGAAAAGGGCATCCTGGTGGTTGAGCCGAACCCGGGGTAGGTTTGGACCCTTCGGGGCCCCCCGGGTGAGGCAATACACCACTTTGGCCTCCGCTTCCTGTAGACGGGTGTCCTGGCTTGGCCCGACCAGGATGATTCAGTCAGTCGCCACTACTACTATCCCCTTTGATCTTTCGCTTTTATCTTTCCCTTTTTCTCTAACTTCTCATAACTCCTATTTCACCTCCTTTGGCGGCAAGGGCTAACCTTGGGTGGTAACAAATTTCCTTATCTAGACCCACTCTTGGTTATAGTTACTAAGTAGCACTGGTAGTGTAGCATACCCAGCAAAGCCATATTTGTTATGGGGTGCTACCTACCCCCTTGTTGGGCTCCGTGGTGGGCGCTGCACCACAGTTTCTGAACACCTTTCCCCTATTATGGGTTCCAAGCTAAAACAACCTGATCGGCCTCCTAAAAGAGTCCGCACCGAAGCCCTTCCCACGTTCCTGAACAAAGACAACTGCAATTCTAACGACTATTTTACCAAATTTTTCGTACTGCACTCCGAGGACACTGCAAAACCACTGTCCAAGGTGTCTCCCTTCATTGTTGCTAAGGTTCTCCAAAGCACACAAGAAACGAAATATGAAGCTAAGAAGCTATTTTCAGGTGACCTTGTGGAGGTACTACAAAAACTCCAGGCCACAGCTCTGTTGTATATTCAAACTATCCATGACCTCAAGGTGACTGTTTCCCCTCACCACACACTCAACACCATCCGCGGTGTGATATCGGAAGATAATCTGGCGGACAGCTCCGAAGAAGAAATCGTGGAGGGCCTGCAGGCTCAAGGTGTCGTCGCCGCCAAACGAATTAAAATCCGACGGGATGCTGAGGAACGACCCATTAGACACATAATTCTAACCTTCAAAAGAAGTATGCTGCCACCTTCAGTGAAAGCAGGCTACATCAATTGCAGAGTGCAAAAATACATCCCAAATCCTCTCCGCTGCTTCCGTTGCTAGCGATAGCTTGCGCGCTTGCCATGGTCGTGATACCTGTGCCAGATGCATTGGCAAAGACCACCCTGCTGATGTTTGCAGAGCAGACTACAAGTGTCACAACTGTTATGGTGACCACCTTGGATATTCAAGGGCTTGTGCCCAATTCAAGAAAAAAAAATTCTTGCACCCAAAGTGAAGGAGAACATTAGTTATCAGGATGCGAAGCGTCGTCTCTCTGCTTTTCAGAGAGGCTCTTTTGCCGAGACGGTGTGCAGCAGGGGACCTGCACCGTCCAAGGCGTCAGTGGCGACTCAGGTGTCTTTTCCAAAAAATGGGAAACCGCTGCAGTCCCCTACGCCCAGGCTGAAGATTTATCTGCCTGGGCATTCACTTTCAGCTGCAAAAGCAGCTGACACACCCTGTGGTACAAAAGACCCAGGTGCCACTGAGGCGATGGAGACGACTCCATCATCCCTTCCTCCTGCACCGTCTCCTCAGGCAGGAGAGCGAGGCCCTCGCTCCGCATCTGTGGGGAGGACTTCGCCAAGGAAGCAGCACGTTTCACGTGCAGTGGACGAAACAAACAAGGCAGGGGGTCGGCCTAGTACGTCGACCGCCCCCTCAGCAGGGCAAGGCAGAGGCCGGGAGTTCCCCCCACGGTCGTCTGATTGCTCTCAGGCTCCTTGCAAGCTTGCCAAGAAGGCTCTGGATGCAGAGGTGACAGCTGATGCTATCACCCTTTCTGCTGCAGAAACTGACCTAGATGAAATGGATTGGCAGACAGCAAATCAAAAACAGAAATGGAAAAAAAACAGTAGTTCTTCCAAAATGATTACGCCAACCCTTTCCCCTTTTTTTCTGCCTTAGTCCTTTCTTTAATAGGGGCACTTCCATAAAGAATGACTGCAATCATTCAGTGGAACTGTCGTGGTCTTTTGATGAACTTTGAGGATGTGGAGTTCCTCTTGGAGGAACATCAGCCACAAGCTCTATGTCTGCAGGAAACTCATCTCAATGCAAGTCAAACATATTTTCTTAAGCGGTATTCCATTTTTAGAAAAGGTAGAGATGATGCATCTGTTTCAGCAGAAGGGGTTGCAGTGATTGCTCCCAAGCACATTCCCTGCTGTGCGATCGACTTAGCTACTGAACTGGAGGCAGTGGCGGTGCGCCTCCTCCTCCACAAAGTGGTCACTGTGTGTTCCTTGTACATACCTCCTTTTGCTCTTATCTTAAGTGATTTTAATAATCTTATACTCCAACTCCCGGAGCCCTCTCTTTTACTTGGAGATTTTAATGCCCACAATTGTCTATGGGGTAGTGTCCACGTTAACGTCGCATTCACTTTGCCTTTTTAACACGGGAGTACAAACCTATTTTAGCCCATCCTCATTATCATCCTCGTGTACTGATCTTTCCATCGGTAGAGCTTCCATTTTTACTTCTTTTACATGGGTCGCAGATACTAACCCACATGGAAGCGATCACTTTCCGATTTTCTTGAAAAACAACCTTCCCCTAAGTCTGTGCCGATGCAGACTGCCCGTTGGAAGTGCGAGAAAGCAGATTGGTCTGTTTTTACCGAGGCGACGCAGCTTGCATGTACATCCTTTGATGAACTTTCGGTGGATCAAGTTACACACCTGTTAAGTAAACATATTCTTTATGCAGCATCTCTTGCTATTCCTATCACTTCAATGAATCTCCCTCGGAGACCCAAGCCGTGGTGGAATGAAGTGTGTACTGAGTCGAAGAAAAAACAAAACAGAGCGTGGGGTAGATTTCAGCGTTACCCCACGCAGAGCAATCACCTCGCGTTTAAACAAATGAAAACTCGGGCAAGATACATTCCCCGCCAGCCTAAGCGAGA